AGAAATAAGTAAGGTTGATGAAGGACATTTCGTTACTTATCTCTTCATTCAGTTGTCCAATCCAATTTTTTTAAAACAACCTTTATTTCATACCTCTCATTTTTTTATGGATTGCGCTTATATTAGTGTGTGCACTGTATAGTGCCCTACTCACTTTGTCACCAGGTATGTGAGTTAGTGAGTGAGTGAGTGCCGGTGTCCGTAAACAAACAGGTCCGCAGCGCGTGCACAGCACTACCCACATGTATACAATGAGTTCCTATTTTTTATCAGTATCTCTCAGTTCGTACGCGGGGTGTGATTGGTCAATTTTGCGCGGCCCACTAAACTTTAACTAGTTTCCATTCCCGAAACAAATAAACAAAAAAAAAAGGATAGTCTAATCAAAATGCTACTCCCCCCCCCCCTTCTTCTCACCTCTTATCGCGCAGTCAACTTTCGATTGTTATTTTATTCTGTGGGTCGACAAAACTTCAGACTTTTGTGTTTAAAAAATACGCGCCTTTCGGTAATTTCGGAGTTTTGACGGGAGTTTGACTATGTTTTTTCTAAAGGAATTTGCGTAAAATGCAGAAAGATGCTTAGTGTGTAAAAGGAAAGAGCACCTGAGAAATGCCAGATGACCGCTGAAGTTTCAGAGATCGCCGAAACCTTGAACAAGTTAAACCTGGTGAGTATACGCACATGCTTTATTATATAATATGAAATACCGGTGGCAAGACACTTTCCCAGTTATATCGCTTATCAGAGACCTTATAGTCTTTCTGTCATGTCAGCCCATCTCTAAACGTTTCTTCAGGCCACCAATAAGCATTCATCCTTTCACTTCACAAAGTCATACAAACTCACAATCCAAAATCATTATGACGTTTGACATTTATTTGCCAGGGGGGGGTGTGGGTGGGAGGCAGGCGAGGGGGCAGGAGAGAGGAGGATGTGATTGGATGGGTGGCCAACCCTCTCCATTGTGTATCTGCAGAAGTAAGAAAATTAATTTGTACCTCAAAACCTAAATACGTTATATTACACCATTTGAAATCTAAAAAAACATGTGTCGAGGACTGTTAAATTACTTGTCCTATGATATGTGTCCATGGCAGCCGAAATTAGACAGCTCTTAATTAGAATTTCGTTAATTTAAAGTTTAACTGGAAAACTTGGTAATCCAGAGTCGGAAGCAGGGTTCGTGAATGATATAAGGAAGTCATAGGTGTTTTAACACTAACTTTACTAGAAATGTCGAACTGGCCCACGAATCGTGGGCGAATCTTTTGTTCATTGTATATAGAAAATATTTTAACTTTTTCGCACTACAGGTCGATCATGAAGCTGACACTGATATTTCCCTTCCTGTACCGATCACTGATACTGAATGCAAAGAAGGTAGATCTAAACGAGAGAGCCTTTACGTGCCAGACGAAGATTCGCAAGAAAGCGAAGATGACATAAACTATGTGCAAGGTGTATCCCTGAAACAGCTCAATCGCTTTCTACAGCTTCGTGACACCAGCCCAGTCCGCCACGTACTATCAGTACCATGGAATGTAGCTCAAAGCCGTACTAAACGCCGTTATTTGAGAAAAGCTGAACAGTGTGCTTCAGCAGTAATGGAAGTCCTTGCTCCTGAAGATTCGAATTGCTTGTGGAGGGAATTATGTGAGCGCGAAGTGAATCGAAGAACAACTGGCGGGAAAAGTTGTAAGGAAGTGGAGCTTCTTCAAGCGTTTGCCGAGAGTTATTTGAACGCTCAACACTGGAGTACCCGTCGGCAAATACTCTCAATCCTGGCTGACAAGTTGTCTTTCAAAGAGGTGCAAGAATTTATCCCAACCCTGACAAGTTACCGCTTTGACATAGCGCGACACCACACCCTGCTTCATGGAAGAGCAGAACCGATTCCTCGCCAAGAAAACAGGAGAATGAAAGTTGACCAAGGAAAATTGGAAGATTTCATTTCATTTATCACAAGTTCACATGTGATTCAAGATGTTCCATTTGGCGAAAGGCTTTTGAAGTTATCAACCGGTGAGGTTATTAAAACACCAAATGTAATCAGAATGATGATTCCGGAGCGTATTGTTCAACAGTACCAACAATATTGCAGTGAAAGAGGTTTTGAGCCCATGAGCAGGCGAACACTGCATAGAGTGCTAGATGAGTGTTCTGCGTCTGTTAGGAAGTCTTTTCAAGGACTTGATAACTTTTCATCTCAAGGAGCAGAGGCATTTGATGACCTGGACAAAGTGGTCGATAAACTGGTTGATTGTGGAAAAACAGAAGTGTGGGCCAGGGAAATGAAGCAACAGTTACGCTCATCAAAGCAATACCTGAAAAGTGACTACAAGGTATTTGATTTATTTCATTACACGGTTTGTTATGAAGTACTTCAAAAGAAAGGCGCAAAACTGACAGAAAGTTGATGCAACAACACAGGCAAATTATTTTCCTAAAGTTCAAATCTTTGAAAATGCATAATATTGATACTTGAACTAGTTCCAGGTCCTCTCGTGCGTAACTAAGGAAGGAATTATTGTCGATAACCTGTAAGTTATATTTATACATTTTGCAAACAAAGGGGGACCGTCGGCCTCTTCAATGTAATTGTTTTATAGAAATAGTAGTTAAGATCAGGACGATATAATTACTGTATTTCCTTCGCTAAGTGCCCGGGCGCTGGATCGAGTCAGGAAGGGGCTCCTAATATAGAGGTTGGGCGCTTGTTCCAAGGGCGATTTACTTAAGAGGAGCTCGCTTATTGGAGGAAATGCGGTGATTGAAATTGTTTACGTTTTTGTTGTCTTCGGCTTGTTTCAGGTCCATGTGGTTGAGTCTTCGAGCATTGCTGATCATTGCAGGACTTACGCCTTAAGTGACTCAACAGACTCTGACTTCCAAGGCCACTGCAGTCATTCACACAATGAAACATGTGCACAGTGTTGCCAGCTACAAGAAGTTCTAAGCATCTTGGAGAGTGAGTGTTGCAGTTTGTAACGAGGAGCAGAAATCGGACATGCTACACGCTGTTAAGCAGGCCAGAAATAATATCATGAGCTGGAAAGCCCACCAGTTGCGCTCCGTTCACCAAGATCAGGCCAAATGTTCTGTTCTAGCTAAAATGAAGAGCAAATGCGACTTGTTACCAGTGCAGGATTGGGCAATGAAATTTATGCCACGAAAATTTCGAGAGCCGCAATCAGACTGGTTTGCTAAGCGCGGTTTGCCATGGCACATAACAGTTGCTATTAGGAAGTCGGAAGAAGGCGAGCAGTTTGAGTCTCAAACATTCGTACATGTCTTTCAGAACATGGATGCAGGATTGTCTTGTTTCGCTGAAGACGGAAATGCCGGAATTAGAAAGGGCGTTTTATAAACAAGATAATGCCGGCTGTTACCACAGCGGATACATTATCGTTTCAGCAAAATTTGCAGGCGACATTGCTGGCGTGGGCGTGGAACGGAACGACTTTTCCGATCCTCAAGGTGGAAAAGGAATATGCGACCGCCAAGCAGCGACTATTAAAGGAGACATTGGAAGATATGTAAACGAGGGCAATGATGTGACAACAGCAATTCAGCTCAAAACAGCCATAGAGTCTGGTCCAGGATCTTGCGCTAAAGCTAGTTACGTTACATTCAACCCGTCAAGCACTCGGCACGTCAAATGGGATGGTGTAAGCTTACTCAACAACTTCAAGTACGAGCGTGGAGCGCATTTAATGTGGGTCCTGGAAAGTTGCTACCGTGGTCTCAGTTTGAAGGAGTTTTGCAGGTCCCGGAAACTCTTGAAGTGGTTGATCCCCCATCGCAGAAATTGAGTACTAAGCCATCTTTCAATAAGGTGAGACAGAGACTTGTAAATAAAAAATCTGCAAGTGATCCAAACGCAGCCAGAGATGCCAATAGCCGAGAACAAGAAGATGATGATGGTGAAAACGAGCAAGCCTCGCCACTTTTCCCATGCCCCGAGGAAGGGTGCATTAAAGCATACAGCCGCTTTGTATCATTACAAGCACATCTAGACACGGGGAAACACAAGCGACTACCTGAACAGGAAACGCTGTATGACAAAGCAAAACGAGGATATGCTTCAAAGCTAATGGATGAAGGTAGCAGGATTTCCACTGTGCAGTTACAATGTGAAGAACAAAACAGCCAATGCTTTTCGCCCCTTACAATGGGATGGGCACTTAAGACAATCACAAAGAAGACACGTTTTACGTAAAAACAGAATGAATTTTTGAAACAACAATTTGAAATTGGCGAGCAGAGTGAAAGGAAAGCAGATCCGAATGAAGTCTCAAAAATGATGAGATCTTCAAGGAACGAGTTAGGAGCTCGTCGATTTCTACCAGAAGAAGTTCTAACAGGACAGCAAATCACTGGATTCTTCTCACGACTGGCAGCAAAGAAAAGGCTTCCTCCCAGTACAGTGAACCGGGAAGAGTCGGACGAAGAGACCACTAGAGAAGATGACAGAGCATCACAAGAACAGGTAATCCAATCTGAAATCTGTGCGCAAGTGATGAGAGAGGTTTCCCTTCAGCACCCCATTGTATCGTCGTCAGGTTACAACATCTGTGAACTCATGCGCATGGGCAAGAAAAAGCTGATGTCACTGAGTGTGGACATGCTGCGCAGTATTTGCGATGAACTTGGTGTGGACGTCTCTGATATAACACAAAGACGAAAGAATCCGTTTATTAGTCGTCTTTCAAAGCTTGTAGGCGAGTGCGGCTGTACCTCATAAGCAGATTAATAAACTGTTTTCTGTTGACTAATTATGCCTTGCGCATAATTGTATATAAGATAACATCATTTATTTTCTTTCGAAAAAATCGTTTCATTTGATCGTTATCTTTTTTTTAAAGTGTGTTCAGTGAAGAGGTAGATACACTAATGGTATGGCGACCACCTCAAGGCTGCCACAGCACCCTACTTACACAATCTAAATGGCTAACACCCATATAATCTAAATTTAGATCATTGGGTTCAAGCGGTCTCAAATGATCATCTAAGTCTTCCCAGTAGCTCATTAAATATGCATAAACATTTCGACCAATCAACTCCCTTCACTTCGGATGCGTAGGGGGGAAACCTTTACCGATTGGAATAGTTACGAACTCGCTAGCTTTTCTTGGTTTGGAAGTTCAGGTATTATCGGCTTTGTCGTGCACTTTTGGCGCTTTTTCGTTACTATGACCGACAAGGATACAAGTAGAGCTCGCAAAAGAACATATAATAAAATAAGCGATGTACAAAGGTCAAAACTACAAGAATATTACGACGGCGGCATGAAAACATGCGGTTCTGATAATACGGAAAAAATTGGAGTGGCAGCCGAGGAAACTGGGCTGACTATTGATCAAGTAAAGGTAAGATATTTTTTAGTTGGACTGAAACACTACCATGTTTCATGTATGTGGAATACCCCGCCACTTATTTGCATCTCGTTGAATAATAATAGCGATCATTATGGTGCTTCTTTCTTCAAAGCACACCGACATATGTAAATGATGTAGCGGTATATTGTCCTATAGAATTAATTCCCTTACTCTGTGTGCTGCATAAACGAATCTTTTTAAAGGATTGATTCTTAAACAGAATTTCATCCGTCATATACCGAAGTCAAGGAAGTTAACTGTACGATTGTACTATTCATAATGAGGCCTTGTGGTAATTATTTCCCTCGTTAATTAAAGTAGGCTTACTTTTTTTTTTGAAAATAATTGCTTTATGCAGTTTTATGCTCGAAAATACGCTTGCAGTGTGCAGTATAATCAATGATCAAGAATATGCCGGTAAAAGAAGATATGTGTTTACTCATCCGTTATTATAAATTTAAGAATAAATATTGTGTTACCATTACAAATATTGAGAGCTAACCGCAAGCAACCTTAGTTAAAAGTGGGCTAACCCGAGTGCTCTGTAGGCCAACAGAAGAGCTAGTTAGGCCAACCTTAGTGCTCTGAGGCTAACCAGAGTACAAGTTTGGCTAATTGGAGCTGAAAAGTAGGCTAACCAAAGTGTTAATAATAGGTAACCCATGGCGAACGATCGAATCCTGGTTCGAAGTTTAGGTATCCTCAATCTAGAGCTGTTAAATGTTATAATCACATCATCCATTCGACATACATGTACATACCAAGAAGATCTACCTTTATTGATTTGTTGCCAGCCAATCATTCTGTACTGGATTGAAAATTTGCTCTGTATACAAGCTCAGAGTTTCTGTGAGCAGCTTGCATGGGTATTATAGGGTCAGGCCCTGCCAGGGGGTTCCCTGTGTTGCTTGTCTGAATTTAAAAACCTACAGTTATTATTATTTTGTCTTTATTTCTCCACCTTGTTGTTGTTGTTGTCAGAATTTTGGTGAACAAGATCTTAATTTTTTCATACTTTCATATATATGCCACAGCTACTTTTTGGACCATGTCCCCTTTAGGAATTTACCCTGGCTGGGCCTCTATAGGGCCAGCCAGTGAAAGAGAGCAAAAAGGGAAGGGTTTCTATTGTAGCTTAAGGCATTTTGAAATACTTTATTTTAATGTGGTACATTTATGTAGAAATGGATTGGAAATGCCAGACAAAAGGAAAAGATAAATTCTGGAGTACAAGCAGCTCCAAAGCCAATTAAGATCCCAACTGGTTCACGTGGCTCACACTCCTACAACATGTTCTGTTCAGAGTATTTCAAGTCAGGTGAGAACCCTGATAATGTTTTCAAACACTAAGGACAGATTATTTACATGCATTATAACTATTATAGACCATGGCTAAAATATAGGGTAACATTAGAGGTGTACATTCCTGGGGCATGGGTGTGCAAATCCCCCCCCCCCCAGTTTAAAAAATTTTCAAAGTCCAAAGGTGCCCATACGCCTATGGGTATCATTAATAAACCTCTACTAGTCTATTATTTCTAAGAAATGAATATTGTGGTTTTCTCTGCTAACTGTGCCTGCTGGACATTTATTTTATTTTGGTGCCAGGATACCAGATTTAAATCAATAATGGACAGTGGTCTTGTTAAACTGTGTCTAAACCCCAGGGGGGGTACTTGCAGGGGTAGGGGTCTGACAGAGCTCTATATTGCAACCCAAAAGGGTTTTCATCCTCAGCTACTTTTAACCTTTGACACCATAATAGAGTTGTTGATTAATTTATTTTCATTTTTAGTTGATGCAATATCTTTGATTGCCGAGGAAACTGAAAATCATGCAGTGACATTGTAATAATCAAACCAATTGAATTGATATTCAGTGGAAATGAAAGCTTTAATTTTTTTTTGCTAGATGAGTGCAAGAAATTGTCCTTGGCTCAAAAGAATGAAGAAGCTGCCAAGAAATGGCGTGACATGACATCTGCAGAAAAAGATGCGTTCAAAGGAAAAGCAGAAAGTTTAAAGGCCCCTGATGTTTCAGAGCTAAGTGAGGCTCAAAAATCTAAATTGATGTCAGTTCACAGAAAAAATCTTCTAAATGAGGTAAAGGTTTCAATCACTTTATGAAATAATCTCCAGCCAAGCTCAATTCCAATTAGGTAGCATAAACCATGCAAATTCAGAATAACTTAAAACTTTATTAAAAGTGGATGAGTAATTTCTAATTATCGTACTCTGTGGGAATTAATGCAACATGCAGATGTTTGTGTCCTTTTGAGTAATCCTCGTGCCACATTTTACTTTTTCATCTGCTTCAGATCATGTTTCTAGAAGACTTGGGCTGTGAATCTTCTCTGATTTTTCAAGACACTTCAGGCCAAGTGTACAACTTTGGATCAAGTGCAGGTTTCTCTTTCTTATGCCTGAATCCTGACATCAACATCAAATTCCGAGACCACTTTGGTATATATTATTACTTTGAATTAGTAATATTATAAACATTGAAAGTGTTCTATTGATTTGTTGGCATGCAACTGTATTAGCAGATGTTTATATAGCTTATACTATAAAGTGTGTCATCCAATTGACGAGATTATTCATGATTGTAAATAAGGTGAATACATCATCAAAATAGACCTGAAACTACATAGTACCTCTGTATTTATTTATTTAGCTTGCACCAATGAGAGGTACACATACAAAGATGTACAACAGCTATTCAATTCCAAATACAGTAAGTTTAAGAATATACATATTATTCACTATAGTACAGATGTTAACATGTAATTGTTGTCATCATCATCGTCATCATCATCATCATCATCATTATTATTATTAGCTATGATAATAACAACAAAGCTGATGATGTCTATAACAAAATCCTCAAACCTGATTGGTTCTGAACAGCGAATATTTGATCCTTAATCTGAATACTGTAATAAGAAAACTGTCCAATTTGGCCTGTGTGATTACAGCTGCTTTTAACTGGACAGGTCAAATCTGACAATTATGCAGCCAATAAAAATCCAGTAGAAAATGCCACTAGCTAATGAAATTGAATTACTTATTCTTACCTTGTGTCTCACTTTTTGGCAAAGAAAGTGTCATATGGGACATGTGGAAATGGTCCATAAGACTTACTGTCATACATTTCAGGGGTTATCAGGCTCATTACTTGCCCAATTACTTCCTGAATTGTACTCCACTCAGTGCTATTATCATTACCAATCAATGTTTCTCTTTCTCTTGCACAATAGGTGAAGCAATAAAGAAACCAGGCAGCAGGGTGCCGTATCTACGTGGGGGTTTTACAGTAGAAAATCTCCCAGATGGCATTTTCTTTAAGAAACCCTTCCATTATGGCACTAAACAACTCCAGGCTATAATGGAGAAAAAAAGCGAAATTAAATTCGTGATTACCAGTAATGCAAATGTAAACTTGCAAAGCAACAGGGATTTTATTCCCTCTCCAACTCAGCCTGAAACAGTAGTCACTCTTCTGTCCAGGATAGTGGACAGACAATGTGCAGAAAGGGTAGTTAGACTGTCTGACAAGATTAAAGAACAAGATGTGGAGGTTGTGGAGTTGAGACTTGACCAGGAAGAGAGACTAAGATTAAATGAATATAGTTTTTATTTTGAAGATGATGCATGGCTTGCTGTTGGTGCTAATATTCAACACTCCACAGAAGCACAAGGGCTTATTGTCCCAGTGTTTACTGAGTCAGAAGATGAGAAATTCTGGCTTTTCTACACTATCCAGAATCCATCAAAACTAGTCAAAGCTTCATTTACTTACAAGATAAAAGGGTATTGGCTTGACTTACAAGGCCAATCCAACTACAAATTACTGAACAATCATCAGGATTATGTTACTATTGCCAACTTGATCAAAAATGGACCCTATGGACCATTATATTTTTTGCAGGGGATGGAAATTTCAGATGACCAGTATTTTAATATACCTGAAGTATTTAACAATGCAATATTTGCTGCCTTAAGAAGTAGCACTATTATTTAAAATTTAACAATATGTACTTTTCAATTTAATATACCTTTTCTAAGAACCTGTTGGAAAGCCAATTTTATAGCCAGCTGACATACAGAGAATCCTAAATTGTAGTTCTTAAATTGTTACTATTATCAAACTTAATAGATAATGATTAGCCTAGAAGTTTGTTTGCTAATTTGTTGATCATTTTCAGTGGTCCAAGTGGTGTGTCTACAAATGAATACAAAATCCAGTATAAAGTACTTTTATTACCTATTACAATAGGCTACATGCATGTCATACTTTCTAACAAAGACCACTTGTAGAAGCTTGATTGTACAAAGAAAACCAGAAACATTACATTTTGCCATTTTTGTGTACTAATGATAAGTACTTTTCAGAATCTTTGCCAATATTGTGTACTTTTGGTAGGTGGTAATCAAAGCGTCGTCCAACCCAGGTACATCCCTGTAGTGGACAACATCTAATGGGCCTCTTGGTTTTGCTGAAAATATAGGAAAAATGCAATGTGTCAAAATGAGCATGAATTGAAAAAAGTCAAGAATGCTGTGTACAGTAGAGAAAACACTCATCTATGTAACTACAATGAACACAATCCTCTGAAAAACAGAACTGAACAATAAGAAATGTAATAAAATACCTATTTTCCTGATTTCCTTTGGCCTTTCCCTGATTCTTTTCACTCTTTAGCTCCTCAACTTCACTCTTACTCAGCTTATGTGCATGTTTCAAATGGTTGGAAAGATTATTGTATTCTTTCTGGCAAATCTGGAAATAAAATGATAGAAAAATAGATATGTGAATATTTCATTTTGGATCATCATGACTGCTTAGCTTGTTATTGCAAAATGACAGCTAGTTGAGATCATCATTTAGATAGGCCAAGCATCAGCATATGACCTGCAAATATCTCTCTACAAAGAATGATTTATTCATATGTAACATTGTTTTGTGCAAATAACATTCCAGATGCCCATACACAGCTGTGCTCATAAATATTCCAGCAATGCTGCAGATTGTTTCCCAGAGTTTTCAGAGTCATTTGACCCACCCTTATCAGAAAAGAATAGAACATCTAACCAGTATATGCAGAAGTACAACATGTTTTTCAGTTATTTTAATACCCTGGTGAGTTTTTTAGCCTGGGTTTCCAACATGAAATTTCCCACATGCACTGTAGTCTAGCCTATACTCCACCAACTGCGCCAACTGTACTGGATGGTGGTTGGATAAGGGTGGTGAGATATTATGGGATACAATTCTAAAAAACCGTCTTAGGCTGAAAGAGCCGGTGAAAATTAGTCAAAAGAAAATTAAAATAGGCTGTTTGTTTG